CTTACGATTCAGAAGGATTACTATATGTTTTTTGCGGAGTTTGTAACATTAGGTACTATTTTATTATTATAAACTGATTGTTAACCGCCCATTATCCCCAAAGAACAGCATAATTAATTCGGAACTCGTGAAGTTCGTGTTTCGCGAGTAAATAAACGCGGATCCCGCTTCAACGTCTGCCGAGTTTATTACTCGAGGGACGGTTTATCCGGAAGTAGTTCGGCGTTCGAGAGTTTCTTTTTTTTTCATCGTGCCCCGAGTCTAATGTTTCTTCCCCAGTCTCGGGGCTTCTTGGCTTTTCTGAAATTTCGCGGCTACCACGCAAAGCCGGAAGAGTCCGTCTCGCGACCGTTTTACGAGTGAAAAGCCACGTCCGTGCTTCGCCTCGCGAAAGAAACAGGTGAACACGAACTTCCGGTGAAATGCTGCACCCTCTCTCTCTCTATCCCATCCAGTTTTTCCTCAGGAAACTGAGGAAACCTTGTTGCGTTTAAGCAAAGAAATACACGGTTGCGTAACCAACCGTTTTTCACAGCCGCTTCACGTGACTCTATTAGCATGTTTGATAGAGGCCACTGTGTCCGTTTACTTTTATTACTTACGTCGTTGCCCGTGCACTGTTCTTCATTTTCTCTCTAAGCGTTGTAAGCTTCTTTCCTTCGAAATAATACATTAACAGTAACGCGACTGTTAGTACAGTAATTTGTTGGATTAATTTTACGAAATGTTACTTTTTACTAATTGTACCCAACGTTTGAGATGTGCTTTTAGGTTCAGGTCTTTTTGAATTACCTTTTTGTAGCATTTAATAATGATATTCAATGTTTATAGTAATTCCATATTGTTCTGTATTTTCTTTTACTTTGTTCCCTAGGGTAAAACCACGAGAAAGTAGTTTTATTAATACACTGTGGATGTTTATGCATTTACAAAATTATCTCTGGTACAGTTTATCAAACTTTTCTCGGTATTTCTGTTCCAGCAGAAGACATAAGAAAAAAAAAATATAATCCTATTTCATGGTGACTTTTGAAGAATTTTTTGGAATCATTCTTGATCCAGTTATAATCTCTACGTTGTTGACTCCTTTCACGGAAATGTTGTTCGTATTAGTTATCATTCGTGACGTCTGTTACAGGTTGCATGTGCTCGATGAAGCAACACAAGAAAGACGTTAGGATAAGAAAATAAATTGAGAACAGCGTGGCTAAGGTCCTTGCGTTCGAGGCATCGACAAGAACGATTAGGGAGGAAATGACTCTGAAACCAAGCACGTTAGCGGAAGGGAACCGCGTGATTTCTTTGTGAAAGCAATTTGTCTACTTTCAGTTCCCTTTCCGTCTACTCACGGTTAAAGCGGAGCCGGCAAGATTGATTCCTCTATCAATGTGAAGACTTAATTTGCATGACTCGAGGAAATTCTCGAAAAATACCTTCCCTTCTCGTGGTTAATGAATTACGTGTGTAATTCATTATTAAATAAGTGATAGTCGAATCAATTGTGTCGATATTAGAAGTTTCAATAAATTCAAGCGCTACGATCTGTTGGAGCATTTGTGTAAAACAGAATTCATCGTTTTTAAACGTGTTTCTGTGTCCTTTGTGTACAGTGTAAAAAACAGTTGTTCACGTTCATTTTATTCAAGATCTTTCATCGTTGCAGAATTGCTTTTCCTTGGCCGGTTGCTTTCTTTGTTCACTGGCGTTTTTATTCTTCCCGTTACCTCTACCGTTTCTCTTGCCATTTGTATTAGTTTCTATTGATATGCTTTGCTATTTCTACCGGAATGTTTAACGTCGTTGATACAACTGGAAAAACGGGCTTTACTTAAGTTCTACTTTTCTGACTGGGTTATAAATCTACGACGAGACAAATATTCTTGGTATGCAAGTAGTGTGGGTTTTGCACTTGATTAGACGAGTAGATCGACCTAGTAAAGTTCTTGGCTTAATAAACAAGTGGAATAGGAACTGTTATCATCTTCCAACAAATAGAATAATCCTAGATAGTACCTACCTCCTTGAATTGGAATCAATTTATTAATCACAGTTTCAACACATATGAAAGGAATATGACAAGGAATTGGACAGTGGGAAAGAGAACTCAGAGAACAAACACACGTAGATTATTGTAAATATCATTTATTGGACTTTTAGGCGTCATGGGGTACAACGATTACATCACGTTGCTTATTTGTAACACCTAAGCAATTCGACAAAACGGGAAACAATAGGAAAAAACGACAAAACCGATGCATCCGATCGATCGTTTATACGGAAAACAAAAACTGTCAAAAGGATTATCAGGTAATTTTCTTCTGTCTAGTTAATTAAATACCGATCTTCGTTGCGAATTAGGCGAACGATCTGAACGAAGTGTTGCGTATCGTATTCGGCAAGGTTCACTTCTGCTTACAAAGAAACAAAAAACAATTAGGAACCACTTCGTTTCACAAACCATTTTACGCAACGATATCATTCGAAGGAACTGGAACGATCGAAACGAGATTCTATACGGTTACTCAATGAATCACGGAGGACAACGACCCTTACAATTTCTCGCATCGTTTCTTCATTACTCGCGCGTCTTCACTCTCATCATTTCTACCTATTACAAGTACAACCACCGTAACGTTAATTCTTTATTTTTCTTCTTCTTCTTCTTCTTCTCCTTTCCTTCTTTGTTCTGTTAGGACGTTCGTAGGGGGTACAGAGCGCATCTTATTGTAACGATCCTCGTTGAAACATTTCGAACTGAAATACCCTCGGTTCTCCTCCGTTCGCCTCACTCGGCAGTGAAACTAACGATGATCAATACACGACACATCCAGAGGGGGAAGGCGAACGAGAACTTATGGCTAAATAAAACTTTATAAAAATATATCAACGAATAATAAATATATCTCTAACAGCGTCACTGTATAATTCGTCATACATAGCCGTCGGTGTACTCGATAGCCTATGCATTTACAATCACTATATACACGCTATTTAGTTACTACTTACCTAAAATAATATACAACAATGTACTTATAATCTTCCTATTTCTTTCGGAATACTTTTTATTCGTCCCAACTTCGTTTCGTTTGCCCTCTACGGCGACCACGGCCGCGCAATCTTCGTCTCCCGTTTTTATATAACCTCGCGAATTCTAGAGGATTTTCAATAATTCATGGTCGAAAGTATCTGTACGCGTGGCACTCGATGTAATTAACAAAACCGACAAAACAAAGAGCGATTCTTATTAAATAGTAGTGGAAAGTAGATAGTACAGATAGTACAGAAAAATAGACTTTTAATACTGACGACATGCTCGTTCGTCAGGACTCTTTTACAGCGATGAAATTATTTACAATAGATTTTTCTATTTTGATTGGTAGACTTCAAATATGTATATACTTATACCATATATGAAATTGAACAGATTTAAACACAAAATATAATCGAATTTAATAATGTTCATTTGTATCCAATGTAAGGAGCTTATTGAAAGGAAAAATACACCTTTGTATAGTTTTTTCTGTTCTAGAGTAGTCCATAAACATATGAATTTCCATAAATAACGTTTATTTAAGTTCCACCCTAGTCGAAGCTCATCAACTTTGCGTTAACAAGTGCCAAACGTATTCAAATTTTCCACCATCAATTCTGAGATATCCTTATGTGTTCGCGTTACGCGTCGATCGTCCTCCCCGAAAAAAACAATTCAAGTGCGAACGAAACAGTCTTCGTTCGGTCTCGTCTCGCGACGTTTCGACTGCAAAATTGGTCTCCTTGTTCGGCGGCGCACTGGCTCGATAATATTCTCTTTCGTTTCATTTTGTTCAAACCCCCCCACGTCGTAGTCGTTCTCCTTACAAATAAACTATACAAATATTTACACATGCCCGCCCCCTCCACCCACACACGCGTGACGCGTAACCTACGTTAATATCTCCATCGGCCAATCGTGTCGGGAGCCCACGACAATCGACTGTTGCGAAATGGGCGCGAAGTATGTTTATAAAACTTTCTCTACGCACAGGATGCATCTCTCTGTTCATTGAACAATTGTCCGCGCGACCTTCCCCCGTTTAAAGCCGCGCAAAAGACGTCCGCTCTCCAAAAGCATCGGTTCACTATAAACGGCGTTCCTCCATTTTGTTTCGTTCTCTATCGCCATCCGACTCGTCGTTCTCGTCATTATTCTGGCAATTTTTTCTTTTTTCTTCTATTTTTTTTTTTTTTTTTTTTTTTTTTTTTTTTTTTTTGGTTCCCGTCGCGGGAACAAAGGCATCGAACAAAAACACGGAACGCAACGGGTAACGAGGGGAAGGGGTAGAAAAGGAAAAAGAGTAAAGACGAACGTATACCGCGCTAACTCGATCCGATCACCCTATACGATACCCTTACCTAACACGTCTAGAAAATCCCTAGTAGTATCGACAAAAAAAAAAAACGTCTCGCAACGAGATCCACAGGTTAAGGAACGTCGAGGCCGGATTATCGTCGCCCGGAAGCTCCGATCATCGACGACGACAGGCGTCGATAAAAGGGTCCCCCGTTTAAATGCGCTCTCATCCTTTCGTGCTCTGTGTGCATGTGTTATCTTTCACGATCGAGAAGAGAGAGAGAGAGAGAGAGAGAGAGAAAAAAATAGTGAAAAAAAAAGGTACGCGAATACAAGCGTGTTCCGTTTGCTATTTTTTCGTCGATTCGACGTCGTCCGTACGAGAATAATATTCGATCTTTCCCCGTTTCACACACGCGTTTCTCTTCTCGCGCTTTCGTTTCTCCAGCCCGTTGTTCGTGACTTTTATATATTATTTACAATTATCGAAGTCAAGTGGAATATTGACGGAACTCTGTTCCACAACCATCGTCCTTCTCCCCCCTCCCTCTCCTTTCTATTATCGTGCGCGGGGGGGGGGGAAGGTTTGGCTTTCGTTCGATCCTTTTCATTCGTTTCTAAGAGATATCTTTCGTCGGTTCTGGAAAACGTGAACCCAGCCGTATCCTCCTCAGCGACGGTGCTCCTGCAGAATGGCCAACGCCAGACAAAGCGACAGGCAAGCGAGACTCGCTGACCGGAAGTGAGCGTGACTGTACTCGGAGGCCCGTGTCACGTTCAACAAAACGGAAGCGTCCGCGATCCCTTCCGACGAGCGTACCAACAGCAACCATTCGCCGGCGTGGGACCATTGAATCGTGTCGAAGCTCAGCACCGTCCGGTAACAGGACTCCGTGCCGCCGTCCTGGAAAGGTAAACAGGAGAACGTGAACGTTAAATGAATTTCACGACGATTCCTGTCGATCGGGGAAAAAATAACGATTTTTCGATTAATTCTTCTTGAGAAACACCGTGAAGAATTATGTGATTCTTTGGAAGTACTTGGGCACTTTGTGGCGTTTGAGCCTCTAGCAAAATGATAATTATAATTATCATCATTATAACCTGTTTAAGGAGGAACTAAGATTTTAAAAGTGGTTTGTCAAGTGCACCAATAAGTAATTCACTGTATTGTTCGATTACGAGGTGATGTACGTTTAAATTACAAATATCTTTCATGTATTTCACTGGATAAAAATTATATAGAGTGTGGGTATGTCATTACGAGTACAAATTAAACAATATAGATCACAGACTTTCACAAGAACGAGTTCGAATGTCCGAGTGGATTACTTATTGGCACATTTAATAATAGCTACTTGTCCGTAAAAATCAATGTTTAAAAATCGCCACCACTGTTACTTCAATTGCATCTACCCTGTTTCTATTAACTTTAAAAAGAAATTTCTGGTGTCATTACATATAAACACTTTTGAGCAGTTATATAACACATGAATTTTTAACATTTATAGGTTCACAATAGAAGGTAAAAAATTCTACAATCTAAGATTTTTATCATATCACGGTTGTGTATTTTCTATGATTTCAGATATGTCGTATTTAAAGGTGGGTATTCATGGTCCTTAGGGATATTATACGTTTGGATTGCCAGAATGCGAACGTTTAAAATGGAACATCGGTGGTTTTTGGACTCATTCGAGTATAGGATTAATTAAACGTGAAGTTCCATACTTCGAAACGACGAATCCTCGATCTCGAAGCTGCTCGAGTTCCCGGTGGAATGTTTTTATCGCATTGAGCTCATTAACCCCGTACTCGATAACGTCGATTCGACTGTCTTTCTTATCTGCTCAGGTTCCGCTTTGGTTCATACGTTTAAACTTCCGCGTGAAACTTCCGCGGGAAAACTGAAAACTTCCTGCTTCGCCCTATGTCCCCGTTTCAATTGTCCGTATCACATCTGATTTCCATCGCTTTTTCTTCTGGGACTTTTATTACTTACTCTTTCCGTCGCGAAACTTGTTTTCTCTATCTTCTTTTTGCGTCTACAGAAAAATTCAATAATTACGCTCCTCGAATTTAAGAATTGTTAGAGACTCTACAGTAATACATATTGATAAACCTTACGTAAAAAATGTTATTTTGTACTTCTGACTTAATTTTTCGCTAGAAGCGCAGTTCACCACGCACGCCCCCGATAACGTCAAATCCGTCGTTGACGAATACATGCTTGCCAGCGCAAACAGTTTTATCTTCCTGATGCGGGAATTATACTTGTACCGCGACGAAAACGGTGGGAAGAACGGACGTCGAATGAGCGGAGCGTGATGTCTTGTCGACGGTACAGAGCGTGAAAAAAGGGGAAACAGGAGTGCATCGGAGAGACAGTGGAACGCTTGTTGCATAACGGTGAAAATACGCGAGACCACGGAATAAAACGCGATATCGGATTCATTCGTGCGCGTCGACGCTTGTTTCGTTTCTACAGCGTCGATTCCCTTCCCCAGCCACCTTGTTTCTCTGTCGCATCGTTTTTTCCCCAGGAGACGAGGACAGGCAGATGGTCGCACAAAAGACGGATTAGCCGTACCTTTTCTTTCTTTTCTTTTCGAGGAATCAGGAATAATGGCAAAGCGCGCGCGCGCCCGCGAAGCTGTGGGAACGCGATTGGAGGGAGTGGACGGAAAAGAAAGAATGCGCAGCATAGCTTTACAGGGATTTCGCTAATGCACCTGTGCCACGTGTTTGTTTTTATTAACTTTTAATCTCCTTTGTTCCGCGCAGGGAACGTCGTCCTTAATTCGTTCGACCGGGGTCCGATTGTTCCATCGCGAGCGCAAGCTCGTCGATTTTTTATTGGGAAAATTACGGACCTTCGTCGAGCCTGTTTGTGGAGTATTTAATTATTCGACGGCCGCTTTCGCGCTGACACGCGCGAGCTAGCCAGAGAGGAGAATTATATACCCTCTGGTTTTACGGTTGGAACACGAGGCCGATCTAGGTCGTCGATCCGCCCGGTCGAGCGATCATTTTTGTTGGGATTCAGGGGTTATTGGTTTTGCACAATGAAGACGGATCACGGGATGTTCCCATCCTCTGTACGTTTCTCGAGTGGCAAAGTAAATGACGAATCCAGCTGTGAACAATGGGGGAGTGTGACAGTGGTTGTTTTTTCTTGCCAGATTTCGCGGGAACGGGTTAGGAACTTGGATATCGAGGATTTAGAGAGTTAATGTTGGCACTTGGACTTCAGTACTTCATATCGGAATGGGAAATTATGTTCTTCGACGGAATTGGACGGAATGATTCGAGAATTTACAGTACACGACTTTGGATATTTTCGAAGAAATGTAGGGACTGTGGAGGAAAAGAATGGAACACGGTACTACTGAGTCTTTTGATGATATAAGTAGTACTGGACAGTGTATGGTCAGACAACAGTAATATATTACAATATTTGGTTTTTGATACAGTAAATCACCGACGAGTGTTCGATGGCTTCTCGGCACTCTGTTCAGACGTTATCCCCACCTTTTGGGGTAGGGGAATTTTTCGTGGAACCAGTCAAGCTGCCAGTGGTGGGGATGACGTCTAAACAGTCAGTGTCGAGGAGTCTTCGAACGCCCATCGATGATTCACTGTATCTTCAAATATATGTAGCAATTGTGGAGAAATAGAAAATGCCACTAGTGGACTATTTTATGTACACAGTACTACTGGATTGTATATGGTCAGACCGATTAGTAGAACCGTCCTAGATTGATCAAGGTAAGCGAACTGCACTTGAGAGCAGTTCTCTCAGAACTCTGCTCATACAAGAGGATTAAAACCGTACGTGGTCAGACACGTAGAATAAGAGCAACCTGCCTCGACAGGAAGGACGGGATTACGATTGTCCTGACAACGGAAGTAGGATCACACTTGGGCAGGCAAACTAAGTTCTCTCTTTGCTTAAGGCACGGGATTTCGATCGATGTGCTACGAACCAAGTAGTGTACAACTTCTATCCCTTCAAGTTCACTACCAGTCGTGTTTCATCTGTGACAGAGAACTGAAAAGGGAATCGTTGGACTAGACAAGCATAATAACGACTGTGGAACTGCTAAATTTTTATTACAGTCTCAGATAAAAGAGTAATAAAAAGCGACCCATACTATATTCGTCGCGATTTCGACCAATTGCAATCTTCTCAAAATTTTCTTGCCGCATCGTTTAGTAAATTAATCATTCTAACTTCACAAAACAAAACTCAACTCACTTGGCTCAATTTTAATAAGTTGTTCCGCTTTTAAGGGTCTGGGAAGACTTTTTTGACTGACTTAATACGTAACTTCAATCTATGTCTTTTCGAGTACAAGTGGACACCAATCCCCGGCTCGTTCTAATTATGAAAATCCCGGGGATGTTTATTAATTTTTCACACGGAACTTCGTCGGAATAGTTGGGAGCAGCCAGTATCGACAGCTTGGCATTCAAAATAGAATCTGGGTCGAAATAACTACGTTCACCGCAACACGTGCACCGGTCCGCGCCGCGTCGGGACCTCCTCCCTGCCTCCCAACCCTCCGGGCTAAACCTCGCCGAGGAGCTGCAATTCCACGAATTAATTACCCGCTACTGCAGCCCCCGGATAACAAGGGATATAGAGAACGAGCGGGATAAATCACGTACTAACTACTATCAATCGTGCTTTCGACGAACGCGCTACGGTGATCTCGCACTGGTTTCAGGGAACTTTTCCGATGAAATTTCCGTGGATCGACGCGCCACAGAGGGTTGGGCCATGGGGAACAAAAGTGCACGAGCTGCAGGGTGTCTTAATGTATTTGCAGACGGCCAACAATGAGGTCGAGCGCGGCGAGAGCAAGCACAACACCGTCGACGCGAACCGTTTTCCAAGGGAAGATTCTTTGTTCGCGAAATGCACCGTCGCGAAGAACTTTCACGACGTTCGACGATGAAGTGGAGGACGAGAGCTGTGCTTCGATTTCGTCTGGTCTCTTCGTGGACTGCCTCGAAATCCGTTATCTCTGGCACATCGACGTTTCGTAATTTGTGATCTGGCGGGGGTAGTACACGCGGGGAACATTGTTGAATGGAAGAGGTCAAACAATTCGGCATATTTTCTGTTCTTTTTTGCGGTGCCGTGAATAGGATAGGACTTGGAAGTAGACTGTTTCTAATGGGACGAGTAGAACTAGGAAAGCTTTCAGTTGTATAGGAGAAGAAGAAATCGACCGATTTAGGATTTTTCTTCTTCTATTTCATATAACTCTAACAATGATTCACCATGTTCTACAGTAGGATTTATTGGAGCTGGAAATGAAGGAAGGATCGTATCAGGTCAGGACGCTCTGAATTGGAAAGCTCTGTTGGCTGAAGTAGAATAGGACGTCTGTAATCAGACAAGCTCAATATACAGCAATGCAATCCTACAGATCTAACTTTGACGGTCATTTGCTCGAACCAACGACGACTGGCGATCGTCTTTAACTCTAAGAAGGCAGATGTTTTTCATGATCCAATAGACGACACTATCTAGGTTTGCATAGATCCTTCAGCCAGATTCACACTAGCGGTAATAGAAAGTTCTAAATTCAGACTGATCGTGATTTGACCGTGTCCTTTGACCGTTAGTGTGAATCTGGCGTTAAACATCTATCTTTAGATCTATTCCGAAACGAGTTTCTTGGATATATGCAGGTCTTCTTATAAAATGCTACAATTTGAAACGATACGTGACATTCCTGAAATCCAGGGTTTAAGTAAACCCACATACCGTCTTTCAAAGATTAAACAAGGATCAAAGATGATCGCGTCTGGTGTAGAAGGGATACAGTCTGGGACAAAAGGAAGATAGGAACTTAGGTACTATGTGGGAACGATATTATTTCAGCGTCATTCCGATGTATACGAGAAATAGTTACGTGTTAACGGTAATATAAGTGATCGAACCTCAACAGCAAGTGCCCGAACTCCGTCTCTGGATGGTGCACCAGGTACGTACACGTTCTCCTCGGACAGCCACATCACCTTGGTGTATGTGGGCTCCGCGCAGAACTCGACGACGATGCTCAATGGTTCACCCTCCTTTGCTGTCACCGTTTGGCTAGGCGGATGAAGCATGGGTCGACCTGAAACAACAAAATTCACAAATAACCCGTTAAATCCTTGTCGATCCAGCATGTACAATAGAACCGTCTTTGTCGGAGCAGTAGAGACCCACCCTTTGATTCTACTACCTTTAATCCAGCTATTTGGCTCTGTCGCACTTGCAGAAAGCTTTGCATCTTGTTAACTGTGAAAATATTGGAGTATGTATTCAAAGGGACGTAATCTGCCATAAGCCCTGTTAAATTGCAGATTGAGATGAGCTGTCAGTAATACCCGGGTGTATACGTGGAAGGGAATTTAATTAAGTTGGTTGAATGAAAATGACGCGAACTGGAATGTACCTTGGATATTGAACTCTGGCGATTGAGCAATCGGAATAGTATTTTGACGTGTCTTCTTAGATAGAAGTCGGGGTTGGTTCGAATCGAAAATACCCTCCCGTCCAACGTAACGAAAATTCAGTAAACAGGAATTAAAGAACAGCAATAACTAAAGTTTTCTCGTCTACTTTTAACCCAGTAAGACACTTCAAATAAGAAAGAAATTTCTACTTTTGTTTTTGTCCTTATAAATTACTTCATAATATGCCATTTTGCATAAAAACCAGAGTCTAGTAATAACTATAATTCTTTGATTTATCTAAAATCGTTCAATTTAACCCATTGCACTCGATTGTCTTCCCTGAAGGGACACAATGTATCGGGAATTAGGAAATTCAGACAAACAGAAATATTTTACTACTCACTGCCAGAATTTGATGCACTATTTAACAGTGGAGTCACAAAAGATATTTAAAAGGCGTTCAATTTTACAACCGTTTTGTTTACTCGTTAAACGTCCATACGACGTAAGCCGTTATACAAATTTTTATACATGTCATTCGTTAACTATACCATGAACTGTTCCTGTCGAACGTCGGATGACTGCAGGACGAATTTATTTATTTCCAGTCCGCGTGTCTGGCTCTTTTCGCAAAAAAAAAAAAAACAAAGAAAGAAGAAAAGAAATATTTATGGTTCAGTTGTTCGCGTGTGTACAGTCCATCCTGCGGAAACATCGGCAGGGATTTTTCGCGCCCGTTCCGCGGTTAAAACGCGACGTTTTTGATTTACTAGTTTTTTTTTTCAGAGGGTTCCACACGATCCCTCGGCAAACACAACGACACTCGATGATCGAAACTAGTCCCAGCCGCGTGACAATGCGACTCGACGACCCGGTAGCAGCCTATAGGCGACGTTCGGGTCGACCTGCATAGCAGTGTAAATTGCAGTCACGGCCTCCTCGATTTCAAAGCCTCAAGGCGATCGTGATTCCCAGGAACAGCTTCATTCACCCTTCCTCCTCTAACGGTCACGTCAAAATATCCCCTCGCCAGTGGTGACGACAGGTTGCTCGCCGTTAACCCGTCGTAACGCCCCACCAGAAACGGAAGTACATTCGGAAATCGTGAATCGATGAGGTCACGGCAGAGGATAACGAATCGACCGGGCCCGATTCGTGTTCGAACGTTATCGTTACGTTCGGACCGTTTCGTAGAAGCCATTCCCGGGGACCTCCTTTGATTCGCTAATGCGACATCTCACGAATCGATGTGCTCTTTGCTCGACAGTCGCTCTTAGACCGAGAAATTATATCTTATACTGGCGTGGTTGTTCGAAAATGAATGCGGTACGATGATTTGATCGAGTGATTACGTGGATATGATAATTACTGTCGGCGATAGTTGTTGGTTTATTTGATCTAATATTTTAATTGGTGAAATTTTGTTAGTAGTACCATGTCATCTATTACATTTTGTCGAACGCAATACTTATTTCTCAAGAAATCAGAATACGATTACACTGATATTTGTCCTCGTTCTTTAATGTTCGCTGCTATTTTGAAAGAAGAGTAGGGTAGAAAAATGTCTTAAATTTAAACTGTGATACCAGATTATTGAAAGAAATTACAAATAATCTAAGGAATACAATTAATCTACCTGGGAAAGAAGTTTCTGTTTAATTACTGGTGGAATAAGTTACTGTTACCAGAATTTTATTTGAACTTTATGATGCCACGTGGAAGGTGAGACTAATGTTACGAGTTATGGGTCGTGTGATGGATTGAACAATGGTTCGGTTGAGTTATGCGAGTTAATGGATTGTGACGTTTCCTTCACGATAATCGGCAATAAAATTTCATTTCGACGTCGAATTCATCTGTGTTGGGTACTTAAATTATTCGTGATCGATCTTCGGGAACGGAGCATGCTGGAGATAAAAGTATAAGTCTTAAAACGTTCATAAAACTAAAAGTATATAAAATTATTCCCTATATTCAATCTCAAATAATTACTAACTCTATATCACTTTAGAAATAATAATTCATACAGATGCAGTCAAAGTATATACGTGTAATTGTGCTAGAAATATTGTAAACATAGTTCCTTAGGAGACCACTCTAAGATATACCATTGCAGATGTTTATACTTTTAACTTACTTTTAATATACAAAATGCAGTCAAATAAAGACTACAATAAAACTTAATGATATTTATAAATTATTATCAATTTTTATCTCACTGATATATTCAAAGATTAATGTCTAAAATTGTGAATTTACACAAACATCCGCAGTGTAATCATATTTTCTGAAGTAGCCTGAGAATTAAGTATACAAAATCTGAATAAGTTCCTTAACCGATCAAGCAAGAGTATGATGTCTATGTCTGACCAGGCACGTAGATGATGTCGATGTCTTATCAGACAATCAATGTAACATGCATACGCAATCAAATAATCAGCATATGGCCCACATCTGCACGGTCAAGTAATACAAGTCAATAGCCAATCAGACAGCTGATCTAAAACCAAGTAGATTAAGCCAGTTTCGGCTCAGACCACGGTCCCATTCAAATTCCCTACAATCCACCGCAAGATCCGAAACATACGGTCATACCTATCGATTTTTCTCGAAAACTTTCCGCTCGAGCAAGCCGTTTATATTCACTCCGCCGTTCCAACGACTACTCGCAGCCCCGAAACGCGCGCCACGTTGCAATTTGCAGTGCTCCCGCTCCACCAGACTTTTCTCCATCTATTTCGCGATCATCCGCGTAGTCTTATCGGGGCAATGATTGGACGAGTTGCCGGTGTGACGAACCACCGGATGTCGCATCGCTAGCATTGTTCCTGCACTTTAGCTAATTGAAGCGTGGATGCCGGCCGGTTAGCCGCGACGATTCCCGTCTCTCTTTCGCCGCGCGACCACTGTTCCCCCCCCCCCCACCATCCCCAACCCCCTGTACCTTCCCCCGTCCCCTTACCGCTCCTTTTAGCCGTTCTCATCTGCATGGATTTCCTGCTTCGTAAAGCAAGCTTTCTGACCCTGGTTGGCCCATCTGCAACGGTGAATAGAAGCGGAACAGTACACTCGGCCGTGGCTGCTCATGAATATTCCTACGACTGAAATTACTGGAATACCTTCGCCGCGGTGCCTCTTGTTTCTGCGGCGAGGGCGAAAGCACAGACTGTCTGTCTCCTTTCCCCCGTTTCTCGTTTCCCTTCCATCAAACCCTGTCCCACCTGCTCCCCGGTTCTGCACCGACAGTCGGTCTCGATACAGCCGGAAGCCTCTCTCTCTCTCGATGGAACTCGATGAACCACGGACCCGTGGAATTTTTCCCGTTCGCTCGGGTCCGTTAGGATTCACGATGTTCATTATTTATTGGGAAGTTTTTTTTGTTTTTAGTCTTTTTTTTTTCAGTGAAATTCCGCGTGGTTAGTGTTCTGGTAGGCTGACACGGGGCTGTTTATAAACTCTGGTCGAGGAAATGTCTGTGGAGGTCTGGAGAATCATTGTTAAATAATGTGGGTAGAAGATAGAGGTCTGGGGTAGTATTGAATGATGAATAATTGCAGGTAACAAAGAAATACGTGTTAAATATTTTTGTGATTTACTCTTTCACAGAGTTGCATCGAAATCGGTGATTCTCACTTCGGTATGTTCCCATGCGAATTCATGTAAAAAGTGAAGTATAATCTAATTTTATTTTTACTTGCAAAGTTATATGAATCTCTTCTTGTACTTTAATTGATTTTCTTATTTGTGTCTATTTTGTAACATTCTAGTATCATGTAAATGAATAGAATTCCCAATTTTCCATGAATTTTTTAAAGAGATCGCAATTTATACGATTAATTGCGAGCCATTAGTCCATAAAATTGCAAAATGAGAGGATGGTATACCTTATAAATTCTGTGAAAGAAGTGGAGTGAAGAATCCCACATTCTCGAAGTGCTTAACGTGTCATATGAGAGCTGTGTTTTTATAACGACAATAGAAGTCAAATTACATGCCCTGCTTTGACGTCAAAGGTAGAACGCCAGGCGTAAGTACCAGGAAAATTCAAGTACTACTTGCGGTACTTCGGACCAAGGACTCAGCTCGTATACTATCACAATTTCCCCTGACTTAAAATTGTAACGGTCCGACAAACAAATAACTACCATACTATAATACCTCTGTTCCCACTTTTATCATGTAAAACGAATAATTTGTTTCCCCATTCTTTCCAGTCTGAATTTTTTGTTCGTCGTTCCACTCCGAAAAAAAGTAGATATATTAACTGTACAGTTGACAAAATGTGGAGTGTACTCTGGTCGCTAATTTTCATTTCAAATTCAAGCGCTGTGTGAAGCCAGACATCAATAGTATATCTTGGTATACAATTTTTATGCAAAGCCAATTCTTCGGTCCGACATGCAAAACAGTCTCCCCCATCCCTCTTGAACTGTGTCGACAGAGTCGCGCACGGGACGCGAGATTAATCTCGGAATCTGGGGTAAATTATTTGTCCTCCCTTTGAGACTTTCCCTCCCCACACCCCTCACGGCCAGTCGCGGACGTGGACGAGGGGATAAAAGAAAGCCGAAGTAACCGGCGGTCGTTCGCGTGAATTTTTTACCGGGCCAAGCTGCATGCGACGCACACGTCAGTTTGCATTATGCAGATCGGCGTTAACCATGTGAAGAAATTCCAG